ATGTGGGATTAAAAATGAGTTTTGAGAAAAACAGTTGTCAAGCAAGGGCTAAGTATCCATTTAATAATTATTCTACGACTAGACCGTGGAAGGATTAGACTGTGAAATGATAAATCACAGGATAAAAGAAAATATTTATAAAAAAAGTTCTTAAGGTATGTTGAAATGTGTATTCATTGTTAATCTATCCATAAAAATATAAATCAGGCACGGTTGATACCTTGTGTTGGACAAAACTAGATCATATACAATATGTGTACAATATATTGAAAGTTGTAGTTTCAAATTTGGCCTAAAATTGATCAATATTTATTCTTTCAATTCCTCGTTTTCTACTTAGTACAAGTTAAACGTTTTGATATTACTCTTGAATTAACTCGATTATTATTATTATTATTATTTTGTAAGTCCAGTGAAGCACAAGTTAACTAGCAAAAAACTTTTGAAATAAAGAAATACACACACAATATTATTAAAATTATATATAAAAAATGCCAGTTTTTTCTAGGGGTTTTCATACATCGAAGAGGTTGTATATTGACATCATTTTCAACTTTATCGATTACATCTATTTAAATATAGACAACTAAGTTATCAATCATCCATTGATCTTAGACTGCACTATCAATTCCACGTACTAATTTAACAAATTTCTCTATAACTTTCTACTTGTCAAACAAAGGAAATTTAAATAAAAGTATACAAGTTCTATTGAATTACAATGCTCAACAGTCAACAACTTGTGCAATTAAACATTTTCACATCAAATTCAAAATTAATCAATAGGCCTAAATTAAGTCTAGCAATAACACACATAAATTAAGAAAATCAATTAAAAACAAACATAAATTACAATAAAAGTCCGTCCTAATAAAGAATTAATAATATGAACAAAAATTCCAAAATAATGAATTGAGAATGGAACATCTAAAATTTAAAAGATACTCTTCGGCTCAAAGTTTCAGTGGGGCCAAGACCCACTGGCGTCCATTCCACTTCGCTCAAGCTGACTAGGCCAATTTAAATCGTTATCCGTAGAATACGACGATTTTGACATTCTCTCTAAAGTAACTTTGGGAAATGCTTGGGAAACAGCCCCTGACAGAAACCCCACAAATAGGGAGGGTTTCGCACAAAAAAAGGGGACCCCCCACCTATTGTGAGGTTTCTGTCACTGCCCTCTATTTCCCAAGCATTTCCCAGTAACTTTTTCTAAATTGACAAATCTGTAAGAATAATTTGAAGTGATATTTTAGCAAATGGGCGGTGCTACACGAGAAAAAATGTACATACATTTCACGGAATACAAATATTAGTGGACCCCACCTCAATAAAATATTCACATGAAGCTAGGCACATGAGCCGCATGTATCTCCCATGTAAAACCTCCGTGAGAAAATGCCCAATCCTTAGCAAATGACTTGACTTAGTTAGCTTAAGTGCTTGTTTGATTCTCTTTAAAATATTAAATTATTTGCTACAGTATCATTTTTCACCACATATTCACAAAATAAAATATTCTACATACAAATTAAATTTTTTTTATTTTTTAACAACACGTTCTTCAAAAAATACTAGGGTGGAACAATGAATCGCCAAATGGAACCGAAACCGATTTCTAAAACCGTTGGTTTGGCTTCACGTGGATCCATCAACGTTTAGATTTTTAACCGAATCAAACCACTTCGAAGTGGTTTGGTTTAGATTTCAATCTTTGCAAACTGTTTCAAACTGCCAAACCCTTTACCAAAAACAAAAATAATAATAAATCAAAAAATAAATTAGTCTAAATTTTATGTAACCCAATTAAAACTTAAAATATTTTAGTTAAAAAGATACATCCATATTAGACATAATTCAATCCGACAATTATATACCTCAATTAATTAATCAATTAAATTATATCCAAATACTCATCAGTTATTACAATTATGAATATAAAATCCTCAAATTGGGTAAAGTGTTGAACAACTGTTGCTAAACTATATTCATCGATTTTTCATTACAATTGAATAGATTATTAAATCTAGATTTTAATTCAAACTTACACATTTCATTTCCTTCTACTAATAATTTTCTCAAATTTTGCCTAAATTCAAGTCGAATTATCCAAATTCTTTTATTTTTTTCATAATTTTTGCATATTTTTATTGGTAGTTATATTTGTTTTATTCTAATAATTGTCGGTCTTCCTTAAAGTAATTCGCTAGTATTTGGATGGAGTAGAAGCATTGGATGACTTACAAAAAGTCACAGTAGCTAGGTATTATTGTATTTTATTTTTTTATTTTCTTTGATTTATTATTTTATATCATTTAACTATAATCAATGAATTCATGTACTAAATTTTTATATTTATGAAGAGAATGAATCGTGTATTATAATTGTAAATGGATGGTATTAGTATTGATTAAGAGTTTAAAATATTTATATCATGTTGTTGCATTATAATGATTATAATTGTATAATTTTGATTTGTAATTTTTTTAATATTATGTTTTAACGTGAACTTTTAGATTAATATTTATGATTTAACTTATTTGATATTTATTACTTTTTTTATTGTTAAACCGTGGTTTTAAACCGAACCAAAAAAAAAAAAATGGTTTGAATTGGTTTGATTTGGTTTGGAATTTTTTAAATCAAACCGCTTTAAATGTTTTGGTTTGAAAATTTGTCTCAAACTGTCCAAATCGAATCATGTTTACCCCTACAAAGTACTATTCAAAATTCTTTAATTTCTCAAATAATAGGTGACAAATAGGAGCCAAATAATATGCAAGCTAGCAATCAAAATTTCAACCTTGGACTTGTAGTTTCAAGTTTCAACTTAATTAGTAGAATTAACTCCTTCTAGGCCTCGTGCTGGGCTATTATGCCCTGGAAAGGACGTTTATGTATTGCGATCTATTTTTTGGTAAACACAATTTGAAAAGATCATGTGTATCGATAAGCCACATGAATCATGGACTTCCGGACCTAAGCCTAGCACTCAAGCCATCTCAAACCGTGCGAGTCCAAATATATATGTTCAGGATAACTCGAAAAGATTTATGCCTCTACACCTGAAAATATTTTAATAATTGAGTTTCTTCTGAGATGCAAATGTCCAAATCAAAGGTGAAGGTATGTGTTATTTCTTCTTTGTAATATATACTAATAACAATTAATGTGTAAGATTTTGTCCTTTTATGACCTAGAAATGCTCGGGATAGTGTATCATTTGCTACTGATCACTTTTAGACTTGTTATTTCAAGGGAATTGAGTAAGTTTATTTTAGAACCCCAAGTTCATCAAGTTCATAGCTTTCTTACATTAAAAAAACATTCTCAGTACATGCAAGTTATCGTTGCTCTTTTAAATTTTTTTTAATACTATTGAAAGTGTAAACTTTCTATTTTGATACTATTGAAAGTGTATACTTTCTATTTTGATACTAACACTTTAGAATATGTGAAAACAAACAAGCAAATAAATGTTTTGACGATAAGTACATATAATTTTATTAAGCATTAAATAATTTTAAATATTTTATACCATAAAAATACGAATTAAAGAATATCAATGTTTTTTATTATTTTATTATTAATTTTTACATTTGCTTTAAACAAAGTGCTAGGAGCTCAATATTAATTTTGCAATAACTTCATTAAATTATTTAACATTAACAATTATTACTTCACATTACAAAATACTCTTTATTTCAAAGAGTCAATACTTAAAAATGAGATTTAAAAAAAAAAAAAAAAGGGAGTGAGTTTTGCTCTCTAAATTTAAAGAGTTAAGTCCACTCTCTATTCTTAATATACAATATTTGTATTTGATAAATCACACATTTCAATACCCTACTTCTTAAACTATTCAAAATGCATTTAAATTAATTAGTTAATTGACATATTAAAAATTATGTCAAATAAAATATGAAGAGAAATCGTAAATAATTCTTGAGAAAAATAAAATTAAGAGCCAAAATAGAGAGCTTGTTGAAGTGTGTAAAAATGCTTTCTATAACACAATGTTCTTTTCTTGGAGATGGTATTATACAGTTGTCAGTGGCGGACCCACTGTTGGACCTAGTGGGTCACGTGACCCACTAGTTTTTTTTTTTTTTTAATATTACATTTTTTTAAAACATAAAATTGTGGAAGACTAAGGGACAAAACAATAAAAAAAGCCAATTAATTCTTTACAAAACCAAACAGTGGGATGAAAAGTGGGATTTGGGATTTGGGAAACCATTCGTCTGTCCATTATTCATACAGTTGGTGCCATGACTGCGTAGTGCGTCCCATACTGATTTAATCCATCATTCAACAGTTCAACGTTGCCGGCTTGGAATTTGGAAAAAATTATCTTCTTGTTGACTAAATTTCCTTCCCTACCTTGGTAATCCACCTATTGAGTCTTGAGTATTGGCCGGCGATTGAAGCGGCTCAGCGGCTGTGAAGTGTGAAGTGCTACCATTTAATTTCAGCCTCCATCTATCTATCTCCATTGGACCATTGTCACTACTGTCTACCGTCCGTCGACTCTAAATAGGTATTATTTATTAAGGACCAGTTACTATTTAGTGCATGCATGAGTTTGTGTTTTGATTTTACATCTCCCGTCTCCAATTAATTAGGCTAAATCTTAATATATGATTTTTAATTTGTGTTACTTTTGTGATTTCTGAAATTTTTGTTGAACTAGGCATTTTAGGGATTTTTCTATTTATTGCTTATTGTTTATTTTAGCAATATAAATGGAAATTTGTTGAATTGTGAAAATGTGCAGCTTCAGACATTATTTTTAATCTTGTATTTTTGGAGAATTTAATTTTGCGAACTTTATCACCTAAGTTATGATCATTGGATTTAATTTCATTCTTGTTTTTTTATTCCAATGAATTGATTGTTTTTGTTGATTGTTTCTATCAGTTATGGAGAAGTATTTCAAACGTAAATCTGCATTTTCTGGTGATGAGTAAAATGTTAATAAAAGGAATGTTCAAGACAAAATGGATGAAATGAACACTGGGGAAAAAGTTAATGAAATTGATGGAATTAATCTTGGAGATGTCCCGATTCAAACAAATGTCGAGGATGTTGGGGATGAAGCCCATGAATTTGATATTGCACAGCTTCCTTCAAATCCTGAATTGAGAGTTCCAATACAAAATAATGATATTAATGTCCGAGATGTGATTCGAAGAACATATGTGCAACGGGGTCCTTTTCAACCTCGCAATCATGAATTTCCACCCACAAGGATGGCTAACAAAGATAGGCGATTTTGTGTTTCATGGTAATGAGCATCCTAGTTGGTTGGAATACAGTATAGAAAAAGATGCTGTATTTTGCTTTTACTGTTATCTTTTCAGCTCAAGTGGAAGTTCATTTGTTAATGGTGGATTCTCAAATTGGAAAAGGAAAGAGATTATCAGAAAACATGTTGGGGCATCAAATAGTGCACACAATCATGCTCGGGTCCAATATGAATCATTTAAGAATCAAGAACAAAGCATTCAATCTTGTCTATTTAAGCAATCGCATCAAACTCGAACAGAGTATCAAATTCACTTGAATGCTTCAATTGATTGTGTTCGATTTCTTCTACGACAAGGGTTGGCCTTTCGTGGACATGATGAATCTGATGATTCAAACAATCAAGGGAACTTTCTTGAACTATTACATTGGTTGTGTGATTACAATACAGAGATTAATGATGTTGCTTTGACGAATGCACCTGAAAATCTCAAATTAACATCACCTAGAGTTCAAAAAGATATTGTGAGTGCTATTGCTTCTGAAATTCTAAATGTGATTATTAAAGATATGGGTAATGGCTTGTTTTCTATTTTAGTTGATGAATCTCGAGACATTTCGGTTAAGGTGCAAATGTCAGTTGTCATTCGGTATGTGAAGAATGGGCGTGTATTGGAACATTTTATCGGCGTTATACATGTTTCGAGTACCACAGCTGTCTCACTTAAGGCTGGTATTGATCAATTATTTTCCACACATAGTTTAAGTATATCTAATTTGAGAGGTCAGGGATACGATAGAGCTAGCAATATGAGAGGTGAGTATAATGGTCTCAAAACACTTATTTTGAAAGAAAATTCAAGTTCTTACTACATTCACTGCTTTGCTCATCAACTTCAACTTGCTCTTGTAGCTGTGGCACGGAAACATCCAAAGATTGAAACTTTTTTTACTTCAGTACACAGATTGGTTAATGTTGTAGGAGGATCAGCTAAACGAAATGATCTTATTCGAGAGAAACAAAAACTGAATATTCTTGAATCACTTAATGTTGGTGAAATATCAAGTGGACGGGGTCTCAATCAAGAAACTACTCTTAAGCGTTTTGGTGATACACGTTGGGGATCTCACTACAGTTGCTTAATTAACCTGATTCTCATGTTTTCAACCATAGTTGATGTTGTTGAGATGATTGCTACTGACACTACAAGTTCTAGAACAAGAGGTGATGCGTGTATTTTATTGGAATTGATGTTAAAATTTGAATTTGTTTTTAATCTACATCTCATGAGAAAGATCTTGGGAATTTCAAATGAATTGTCGAAAGCATTACAAAGAATAGATCAAGATATTATCAATGCTATGAGATTGGTGCAATTATGTAAAGCACAGCTCCAAACCATGAGAGATGATGGATGAGATTCTTTTTTTGGAATGGTTTGTTCGTTTTGTGAAGCTCATGAGATAAATGTTCCCATAACTCTAGGTCGTTCACGACGTGATACGGTGACAAATTTGCATCATTTTCGTGTGGAAATGTTTTATGCCATCATTGACATGCAACTTCAAGAGCCGAATGATCGTTTTTCTGAGCTAAACAGTGACTTGCTCCTTTGTGTTGCGTGTTTATGTCCAAATAATTCATTTGCTGCTTTTGACAAGAACAAAGTGATTTGACTATGTCAGTATTATCCCGGAGATTTTGATGTGACAGCTATTTTGGAACTCGAAGATCAACTAGATACATATATTTTTGACATGCGCATTGACGAAGATTTTAAAGAATTATAAGGCCTTGGTGATCTTGCACAGAAGTTGGTTGCGAAAAATAAACATGAAGTTTATCCATTAGTCTACAAGCTTGTGACATTAGCCTTAATTCTTCCCATGGCTACTGCTACAGTTGAGAGAGCATTTTCTGCCATGTCAATTGTCAAAAATCGTCTACGTAATCGAATCGGGGATCAATGGTTGAATGATAGTTTGATTGCATATATTGAGAAGGATGTATTTGACAATATTAAAAATGACTTAATTATGGAACATTATCAAAATATGAGAACTTGTAGAGAACAATTGTAATAAGATATCAAATATTTAAATTTTTTCATCACCTTTTTGCTAAGTTCGACAGTGCCCCACTAAATCAAAATTTCTGCGTCCGCCACTGACAGTTGTAGTAAATCACAGCACGTTACAGCTTATTGGGGCCAAACGAAATCTAAGGCTCCATGCAGATTCTACTAACACACCGGCAACTTTTGAAATGTAATATCAATATTCGACATATATTCAATAATATAATAGACAAGATTTTCACTTTTTTCTTAATTTGTCTAGACATGCCCAATATACTACATAAAAGCAAGCTAATATCGTTCGATCCAGTTGCGAGAAAAGCTTTACAATTTACATATGCAAATTAAAATGGACAAGGAGTAGAAGGAACAGTAGCAGTTGAACTTGGTTTTGAAGTGAAAACGAAGGACTCCTAAACTTGTGTTGTTCCCTCATGAATTTCTTGTTCCGGTTCCTGCAGTACTTCCGAGTTGGGGTTATCATCAATGTTTGGGGCAGTGATAATTATGTTTACATCAGGAATCGTAGGCAGAAAAAGTTTAACACTCCTTAAAAAACTCCTCCACATGCTAGAGATACGGGTAGAGCACAAAATGAGCAGAAAAATTATGGGATAAATACACCAGAATATAACTTGTGGGAAGAATAGTGCAGCCAAGAAAGAAACTATTAGGGAGACTGAAAAATTCTTGACTTGAATGCATAAAAATCCCATATGGTGTGCTCGGGGTGTCAATGGGATTTCAATAGAGACGAAGGAGAAGACGAAGAAAAGCATAGCGAGAAACCAAAATTTCATCCATGTGAGACTATCAAATATTATAGAAAATGGATCCCATTCCCAGGGCATTGCTGTTTGTGATTTAAGAATGTTTATGAGAAAGAGGAAAGCATATCTAAGATCAAGAGATGACATTATTCTTGGATTAATGTAGTTTGCATTAATTTAAACATGGTCTGATTGTTTCAATTGCTTATATATATATAGATATACAGGTCTTGGTCCCACTTGTTAAAGATGGTTTAATATTTGAATTTTGTTACTTGTACATAAAAATGGTACATAAACGGTTACCGAAAATGACGTGGAGGGAAAATTTTGATGAAAAAGCTGTCTGCATTTTAAACTGATAAATTATAGAGTGCCACGTGGGCATTATGTAATCCCTAATGTAAATATTGATGTATGTGTAGTAAGATCCTTAATATTTTGTTCTCTTTCTATGTAATGATCTGCACATAGTCCTTGGTTATAAGTAGTGATGACAATTTACCTGCCCCGCTCCGCCCCGAATGGGGCAAAAAAAACCCACCTCGTGAATTTTTATTTTTATTTTTAATTAAAAGGTTAGGGTTCAACTTGCTTCAAATAGAAGGATGTGACCTATTTTCTAGTATCCTCAATTGTACAAGTCTTATCAAACTTAACTAATTTATATATACCATTATGCTACTTTGTCAAATTGATATTATATTGATAAAAATAAATATAAAAAGATATAACATGTTTGAACAAATTTGAAAATCTATATATTGTAATAAATTAAAGTGTATGGGGTTACAACTTTTGTGACAATATCAAAGGAAAAAACACAAAAAACCTTATTCATACTAATAATCAATGTTGTGTACCAATAGCGATCATTATATTTAAGATTTGTAACGTTTATTTTGGATAATAACTTTATCAGCTTGAATGTTATCTGTATTTTATTGAATTTGAAATAAAATAAAAAAGAAAAAGGGGGCAAGCCCACTGTCCCGCCCCGTTACCATCACTAACTGACAGCAATTATCATAATACAGAAATACATCACTTTGCATACAGGGCAATAAAATAGAGGCGTAATATTATCTGTATTTTATTAAACTCAAAATTTGGAGGGGAGGGGGGGGGGAGTGGAGTAGGAAACGGGGCAAGCTCTATAAGACATGATCCCTTGTGTACTTGTAGTATGAATATTCCATTATAATAATTATATGTTGTTCAAGAGGCAAATTGGCCCGTTATTGAGAGAAAATTACTTGACCAGATTCCCAAAAACACGTTAGAAGATTATGTGAATTTACAATAAATTTGTTCTTTACTTATTTTTTGTTAGGATGAACTTGGTGATTTTAATGCTTCATCCTATATAGGTTGATAATCTGTGTAACTTTGAATCAGTATAATATTCTTGATTGTTAAAATATATAAACTGTGAATAATCATTAATGTTATCATTTAGAGGTTCTTAGAGACTTCTTAAAAATGGTTGAAACTTAAGAATCTGTATATAGTAGCAATATTTCAAAATTTCAAGCAAAGCCTAGAGGAAATTTGATTGTGCAATAGGTTTCAACTATTAAACAAAAGCATCTATGTAGTTATTTGATGTTAATTATTAGGTATTTTATCGTGGATCTCTAACCTTTCATAAGTATCTGTTCCAAAGCCAAATCGTGTATCAAAAAAACTTCTATACTTTTATTTTAAATTAAAATCACTCTATTTGCTTGGTTGGCAACCTGTATGTTACACTTCAGAAAAAGTTAATTAAGCCCTTCAAATGGAATTTATTAAATCTGCGACTTTTCATAGAGCCAATGAATTCATAGCACTAGAGAAAATACAGGTCATTAATAATCCCTATTCTTGACATTGTGTGGTAGAGGTGTTACCAAATCAAAGTTGGGTGGGTAAGATCTGCTATCAATGTCATCCAGATAAAAGGCTTGTCTTTTTCTTCTTTAAGAACACAAGTCAAAGCCGTCTCAGGTTTCAAAGACATGGAAAGTACCCAAAACTTCATTGCTTTTTCCCTGCAAGTGGAACAAAGCTTGATAAGTAAGTATATGTCATCAAATTCTCTGTGGTCCTCACAACATTTTATAATGTTTGGAAAGTTGGACATGATCCATTGGGAAACTAGGAATTGGAATGGAGAGGGGCCCGATTATATGCTAAAAATTGCATCTCTAAAAATCATAATGAAGTTTGATCGACGATATTAGATAACCATTTAATCAAGTACCCTCACGGGCATAACTCCTAGTCATGCTCGAGAATTGAGATGTGTGTTGAGAATTCAAAAAAGAGAGAAAATATTAGGATGTCGAAAAAGTGTAGATGAAACTACATAACTTGTAACCATGGAACATTAAATACAAATTAGGACTACTTATAAGGTTTTAGTTTATCATTCTCTTGCTATAATTTAGTACTTTACGGTTTACGTTCTCAAGTAAACTACAATTATCTTACTTATATTTTAATTTAGATATAGTGGTATAACTCAGTGACCCATAGCGTCCTTGATTTTGATGATTATATTGAGATTAATAAAAAGGGCTCACAAGATTTGTCCTTACAAAAAAGAGATGAAAATGTACGAACACCTCTAAAAAAGAGATTTTTTTGGTTGAAATCCTAAAAAAATCGTTCCCGGTGAATCTAATAAATAACAATGATTATTTAGAATCAAGATACAAATTTATGGCTTCGTAGAAGAACCGTTACTAATAACATGTTGTGTACTTAAGTGATCAAGTTATGGATGTTCCGTATCTAAACATCGAAAATACTAGGTTTTTATAGGCATAACATTTAACTTAATCACCTATGCTATGTTCGTGATGTCAAATTAGAAAGTGTTGGGTTTTTTTATACCCAATAATTCGGGCAATAATTTAAACACTTATCGGATTATTTATCCACACCATGGACTTGGCTCGACTCGGAGATTAACTACACGTTTGGATGGCCCAAGTTTGATTTTGGATGGCTATTTGGTTAGTTGGATATTAGTTCAATAGTTATTAGGTTTTACGTGGCTCATGTTGTGATGTCTAGGCCCAATTGGAGTGAGCTAGCCTATGCAAAATATATCCATCTCTTCTATAGCCGTGAATTGATGGTGTGTGGTTGTGTGTGAGTTGAGGGAGAGAAGGCCGAGAGAGAGAGAGAGAGAGATGGTCAAGAGGTGAGGAGAAGCCGGGTTTGGGGAAAATTGAGAGAGTTTTCACCATTATTGCTTCTTCTTCTTCTTCTTGTCACCACCACCATTCATTCTCCTTTGTGGGGATTGAGAGAATGAGGATTGTCCAAAGTGAAGGTGAAAGTCGGGTCGAGTCGAGGTAAATCGATGTTCGTTTGATTGTTTTTTGAGCCCTGAATTAAGATTTATCGAGATATTTCCGCTATAGAAAGACTAAAACATTTTTTAAAAGGAAAGTTACCATAATTAATTATACTAATTCATCGTTCCGTTATTGTGATATCACCTCTGCAATGCAATTTCATGTAAAGAAAAATAAGTCAAATTCATCGTCCCGTCAAGCGCTACTTCGACGTAACAGGT